AGAAATTACTTAACCTTACATATCCCTGATGTACACACTAATGTTGGCAATGAACTACAAACTGCCCTCAAATTAGAGTCTGACCTTTCGCTTGGAGATGTTTAAGCTTTATTATCTGATGCAAAAAGGGGGAAAAAACGTTTTTAACTTCTGTATGTAGCACTTCTGGCTCATTTCAAACGAACGCACAGCGCTTACAGTGATTTGGCATATTATAAGCTATACTTGCAGGACTCTTGCAGTTTGTATTGAATTGCAAGAAGCTTTGAATAAAAACATCAGCTAAATGAAATGTAAAGCATTTTTAGGATTATTTTGTTAATATCTTGCTGTTTGTGTAGTTGTTGTTTTTTTTTGCTGATTGTGTTTAGTTTATTGTTCTTGATATCAGGTATTGATATCTTAAAACCAATGACACTTTCTGATTAAATGTTTTTAGGAGGAGGTGATAGTGTCTCTAAAAAGAGATGAGAGCAACACCTAAACAATTTAAAAGGTTTGAGCCTGAGTGTATAAAAGTGTTTTTTAGGATCCAGGGTGGACTTTGAGCTCAGTGAGATTCTGGCCAAAGCTGGCTCACCCGGTGGCCACAGCTTGAAAAACTCGTTGCCAAAATGGTCCAGGTGTTCAATGCTTAAACTTTTATTACAACTACACACAATTGAGATTAACTGCAGCTGTGTCCCCAGCTGTTAATGTAATCAGATTTGCTGCTTGTTACAGAGCGTTGGATCCAAAACACAAAGAGGGTGAGGGACGGTGAGTGTGTCCTCTTCAGATACAGCAGCCAGGTGACAGCCACTGTGAACAAACCCCTGCTGCTGCAGCTCAGAGGAGGAACATGTTTATTGATGGGTCTCGCTGCCCCTGAGTGCACAACAGAGAAACAAACAGCAACGTACAGAGAGCTCTCAGTGAGGAGAGCAGATGAACAAACAAGGACCTGGATTACACACCGATTGTTGGGTTTACCTCTCAGAGATGATTTATTATACATGCCTGATATAACACTCATACAAAGTTGGATCGTTTTATTGTTTTGTGTATCTATATACAAAATGTCACAAAGTATGTCACCGTAAGTAACCATGGTAACTAATGAATCCACGGTCGTGGTAGGATAATTTACGTTGAACAAAAATTAGAAATACTGCAAAAATATATAAATAAGCAAACTTTCAGAATTTAAATTGCACTCAATTTGCAGGTCCATTTCAGAATAATATATTATTGAGTAACATTAACTGATGCATTAATGTGTTCATCAGATATAGTAAACAAGGGTTTATAACTGGGGGATACTTTAATCTATCATAATCTATCACTTTTTAATATTTGATGTATACCTTATTTTAATAATCTGGATCTGTAAAGTAACTATAGCTGTCACATACAAAGTAGAACAATGGCCTAGTACCTCACATGTGCACTTATAGGCAAAGTATTTAAGTGAACTTGATTTGTTACCTTCTGGTTAAACAGCCCAGACAAGAGTTGATTTCATCACAACTAATTGAAAAATACAAATGTCAGATTTTATGGTGGTGATATTTGGCATAAAAAATATCCTTGCATTTTTGTAAATCACTGAATGGAGGGAAACATGTGTGCAGTTAGACTAATAACTACAGCTTAGTAGGACAAATGTTGATGTGAAAGTGAAAGAGCAACTTGCCCTTGCTTCATCACCACTGCTGAGGTGCTCTTGGGCAAGACACGTAAGCCCCTACTGGTTCGGTGGGGTTAAAGGTCCCAAAGGTAATCTCTCCTACGTGGGATGCAGGTTAACTTCTGATCGTTTGGCTCAATCACAATGGTGAAAGTCACTGATGTAACCTTTGTTACCTGAAATCACATCATGTCTCTCATGTTATTAGGGATGTCAGAGCTCAATTACATTTAAATAGTATTTTACAAAATAAAAAAATGTGTTAAAGGTCCCATGTCATGCTTTTCCGGTTATTACCCGTCCCCTTGTGTGTTATGAAGGTTTTTATGCATGTAAACGGTCTGCAGAGTCAAAAACCCTCAAAGTACACCCTGTAGCGAGTAAAACTCTAACACAGACCTCCCCAAAACGCCTCGTTGGAGATTTCTCATTTTCCATTGTTTACTTCCTGGGTACTCTGACGTGGGGATACCCAGAGGCCACACCCTCTGCCAGCCTTTCACGAAACAAAGCTTCCCAAACCTTTCAGCGATTCATGCCGGATATGTACAGCGTAGGGCACTGAAGAACGATGCTGTTCCTACTTTGTTTGGACCAGCGGGAGATTCGGGTACACAACCTGTAAGTATTCATTGTTGTTTGTGTATTTATGATGTTTAAAACAAACAAGATATCTACCCCGACTGTTTAAATGGGCGAACGTTTTTCGGACTACTACGTTGGGATCGCGGAGAAATGCTCTCCGCAGACCGATGCTCACAGCGTTATAAACCTTTTTCTTACTCAATATCAAGCCACACTTATTGTTTTTACTTCGGCTGTGAGTGTTTGTGTGTGCTCAGGATGAGTTTCGCTTGTTCTCCTGTATCGCCGACACGGAAGCCTGTCTGCTCCTGCAGCAGCTCAAAGCAGCAACGAGCCTCGCAAACGTCGCGACCAATCAGAGCACACTGGGCTCACAGGGAGGGGGGGGGGGGGGCAGGAGCTCCAACAAGCCGTTTAGGACAGAGAGTGAATACCGGTGAATACACATACTTTACAGAGATGCTGTATGAGAAACCAATGTGAGTTTGGAAAATTGCACAGTATAAATCTATTTTAGTATACCTCAACAATGGAATTATGATCAGTAGAAATGGCCATGACATGGGACCTTTAAGCATTTTTATACTTTATATATTTTTTCTACAATAGATTAAAGGGCTGTATACCCACTGGTCACTGAACTCATGTCCTGGGGCTGCTCAGCTAAGAAAGTACATAAAGTGGGTATTTAGTTTGGAAATTCCAATATCTTTTATGTCAACATATTTAAATTTGATTCATTTCAAGCTAACAAAATAATCACATAGACAGTGGCGACTGGTCATTAGGGGCAGGTGGGGCACAGCCCCACCTAGTGTCAGCAGAAAGTATTACAAATAATGATTACAAAAATGCAAAAAAAAAAATAAAAAAAAATATAAAATATATTTTAAGATCATATTTAATCATCTGATTCGTCTGTACATTGCTGTTTTAGTCTGTGTTCTTCTAATTAGTGTGTCTACAGTCACAGTGTGTGCCTATTGAGCTGTTTAGAGCCATGTGGGACAAAACCTGATTATGCCCCTTCCTCTCGCTGTGAAGTGAACGTGACTGTAAAAACTACACTGCGCATGCTCAGAGTATTTTGTAATGTAATGTGTGTGGCAAAAAAATAATGACCAGAGAGGCACGGAGCTACCATCCCCACCATACGTCATCTCAAATCATTCAGAGCTGATTGGCTGTAAGTACGTGTGCCGCGAAAAGTGTGCTGTGTGAAGTGGAGACGAGAGAGCTGCAGTGCGCAGTGGCGCGTCCTAAAACCAGGAAGTAAGCACAAAAAAGCAATGAGATTTCTCCAGAGGATTTTAGAAAATAGCTCAAAATAAGATCTGTGGGAAACGTACCTGTTAGATAAATGCACGTTTTGTTCAGCCGGATAATATCCACATGTCTACCCTACTTTTATAATTTTTTTATCATAAATCTATGGATTAGATTTATGATAGACTTTTGAAACTACAAGAAGATAAGGAGGACTTTTACAAAAAAGTAATAGAAATGTTTGTCCAGAAGGATAGGCAAATGGACTTCATCTTCAAGTCAAGGTAAGACCGCCATTTTATTGAAAATGGGATTTTACTATGAGAGAACAATTCAATATTTAAATGATACAATTACATTTTTTGGGTATCCTTTTGTTGAACTGTCTGTTTAAAATTAATCGAAGCATCAGACAAAAAAAGCTTTTGAAAATAATATTATATTTTGGTTTAGGTCAAAATATAATATTTGTAAACCTGAAGAGTCAGTGCCAGTGCCTCACCAGCCATGAACCTCACTGCACGTCACTGCAGAAGCTTATATATAGACATCTAAGTTTTTTGTGCCCCACCACTTTTGTACATATAAAAACGCCACTGCACATAGATGAAGGATTCACTGCTTTCCCCCCATGCATTCATCCCAGTGCAGGTTTAGAAACAGCATTTAGATCTTTGTGATGGCATCATCTATTTATAGAAATATTACAGATCAGTTGAATGCATTTAAAAAAACAACAACTTATAACCTAAAAAACGTACCACAGGTTGATCTCTGTGGGCAATTAAGTGTTATTTTAGTTACAGTCTTATCTCGATAGTGAAAGGATGAATAAGGATTTATTTCTCGAATCATTCATTCCATCATTGAGAAAGTTGCATTGACCGTGTGTGTGTGTGTGTGTGTGTGTGTGTGTGTGTGTGTGTGTGTGTGTGTGTGTGTGTGTGTGTATGTGTATGTGTGGCCTAGCATTACTATACTTGTGGGGACCTAAATCTGTTTACACAGTCACGTGTGGGGACTCGCCTCCCTTATGGGGACAACATGGAGGTCTCCATGAGGGGAATCATTAATTTTAGGGTGAAGACTTGGTTAGGTTTAGGGTTAGGGTAAGGGTTAGGGTTAGGCATGTGTTGGTTATGGTTAATGTAATGTCCCCTGAAGTGATGTATACATGGTGTGTGTGTGTGTGTGTGTGTGTGTGTGTGTGTGTGTGTGTGTGTGTGTGTGTGTGTGTGTGTGTGTGTGTGTGTGTGTGTGTGTGTGTGTGTGTGTGTGTGTTTTCCTGCTCAGCGCTCACACCTGAAGTGACAAAGAGGGGGGCGAAGCTCAGTTGAGCTCGAGCTGTGATGAAGGCAGCGCGCGGTGCTGCCCAGCGTGTTTCTGCTGTAAATTTAGCGAACAAGTCAGGAGGAAAATATCCGAAGGGAGGGAGGGAGGGAGGGAGGGGGAAGCGCGCGTGTGATAGGCATTGGACGGCTCCCTTCATACTAGTAAGACAGGGGATTGAGTTTCTCCATCGGGAGCTGCGTTATTAAAGACCACTGGCAACTGGCTGGTCCAAACATTGGAGTGCATTGTCCGTCGCCTGCGGATTGCCACAGCACCATGCGAGCAGGAGAGACGCGCCCTGGGCCATGCTGAACGACTCCCCGACTCTCCTGCTGGCTCTCACCGCAGTGGCCGGACTTCTCCAGCGATGCCAGGGCTGGAGCGACGAAGACCTCCTCCTGCCGCCCACCAACTCCTCCAACAGGTTACTGGCCAACCTGGAGGTGGACGTGCGCTTCTCCAAGAGGTCCGTGGAGGAGAGCGACGCCTCGCCCGACGCCTCGCCCGACGCCTCCTCCCTGCAGCCGGTGTCCCAGTGCAACGTGAGCGTGCAGAGGCTGCTGCCCACCTCGCTGGTGGCCCGCTGGGACAGCAGCTTCGGCTTCCAGTGTGATGTGCTCATCTACACCATCAACAACCACGGAAGGGCATTTTTCTCCGCGGCGTTCAACAGGGCAATCTCGCCCGTCGTCATCGAGCATCTCGGTGTCACCGGGGTTCAGCAGGAGCTGCGGCTGTGCGTGGGCTGCGGGATGTCCCGGTACCGGAGGTTTGGCCAGGGCAGGTCGAGGGGCCAGCAGGCGGGGGATCAGGTCACTTTCTGCTGCGTGGATTTCAGCCTCGACGAACTGAAGGGGGACAAAAGTTGGAGGCTGAACAGAAAGCCCATCGAGTCGACACTTGTGGCTTGTTTCATGACTTTGGTCATCATTGTGTGGAGTGTTGCTGCTCTCATATGGCCAGTCCCCATCATTGCAGGGTTTCTGCCCAATGGGATGGAGCAGAGGAGACCGAGATAATTGAACATAATCTTTATTATAATTAGCCTGTGCTGCCTATTCTATAACTGTAGCCATTGAACTGTTCACCTGAATGAATGATGGAGGCGCTACTGAGACATTTTTGATCAGATGCTTTAGTTTTGGGGTGTTCTTTAACTAATTTAGAGCTCCTCCACATTACAAGGTAAAGTATGATGGATTATAGCCTACTAGCCATTAGTGATCTATACTGGGACCAACACCAATGTGTTTTGTATACCCTTGTAGGCCTTCCTATATATAATGTCAGCGTAAACTGTGCAAACTTTTCTCTTTAAACAGTGTTTGTATAGTTTTTAATCTTTCTAGAACGTTTTTGCCTTATCCCATGTGTAGGACTTTTGCACTGAAACCTGAACTTTAAAGTGTGCCGTCACATATATAACCCATAGTCATGTTCAAAGTTCATGTATTAGTTTTAATTTTCCCAAATAGATGTTGTTTCTGGTTGAAATAGAGAGGGTTTCAATTATAACATTGGTTTATAATATCAATATGTGTGTTTATTTGTATCCATGTTCCGATGGTTTCAATTAAAATAAAATTGATTATAGGCTATATCTCAGATTCTCTCTAAACTGTTTTCTGTGGCCCTATCATTTCATTTCATTTCAAACCTTTATTTATCCAGGTGTATCCCATTGAGATCATTGATCTCTTTTTCAAGGCAGACCTGAAGTCAAATTGACTTCACACTGAGTTTAAGTGAACATTGCATGTGAACAAAGGCAATGTCTTTGGAAAACATACACTCAGTTGCCAGTTTTTACACCAAGCTCAAACTAATGCAGCTTAAACGATACTTGAGGAAGGTCCTAATGTTTTAGAGAGGTGTTGATTCAGCTGTTTGATCATTTTTGAAGATGAAGTTTGTGGTGCTGTTGAGCTGTGTTGCACTGCTCAGAAATGTGTTACCTTGAAGTGTTACTTTATATGAAGTGCGAAATGCGCAAATAATAGACTCTATTGACCCATATTATTTTATTATCTCATAAATTGTTTAAATGCCTGCCTATATGACTTATACAACTCAAATATACATTTTGTTTGCTGTTTATTTCTTAACTGCAGATGTTGAATTATTAACAGTACTTCAATATCAATGATAAAGTACTTCTTCTGACAATGGCTTCTTTTCAGAGTGTTAAAGTATTGATGCATAACTAGCAGCATTTTAATGTTGCTGGTTCAGCTAATGCTCAGGTTTTGTTGGTACAGAAACTCATCAAATCTAATACATTTGCAGTTTGTCAACTCTTTTTTAGTAAAGTCCATCAGGCTGAGGTCAGCTCTCTGTCTCCTCTCTATTGTACCTTCTTTTGTTTGGTATTAGTATATTTTATGTGGCTTTCCCATTAAAAAATACTTTTATTTGAGATACTAGCCTGTGAAGATGATATATTCAAAGTGGATTTTTAAATGTTTTTAAAATACAGCTCATTGATCATTTTATTCCTATAAAAGCACAAGGTTGCTAGTATATAAGGTGCATCTAGTTATGACCAATGTATTCTAACACAGCAATACAATAAATCCTCCCTTCATTAGGATTGTAAGCAGGGCTGAGAAAAATGCTTCAATATTAGCATAAGCTGCAGTACAACATCAGATAATTATTACACAGCTGAATCAACTTTATAACCATCAAGAACGTAAGGTTTATTGCAGGATTGTTGTATTAGATGACGTTATTTCTTTGGTAAGAGTACCTACTAATTTGGCACATGGAGTGTAGGCTAGTGTATAATTTGAATAACGATAAGCAACATTAGAAAAACATGTCTAATACTTTTGTACTTTGAATATATTCAGTCACAAGTTCATGTTGAGCCTGCGGTACTAAATATCATGGTACTACTAGGCTATTTATAGGCTATAATTATATACTATTATAATAAAAGTAACACTTTGTTGTCATTTATGTATCATTGGTGGAAGACGCATTACCACAGTTTAAAAAAAAACCTATAACAAGTAAAAATGGGTAAAGAAGGATTTGCAAAATGCAATAACTTTGACATCAGTGGATGTTTTATTAATGGTGTAAATGTGCAGAGTAGCTAGCTGTTGAATGAATGTAGTCAAGTGAAATAGGACTATACAGGTCTCCACAACGTAGTGGAGTAAAAGTAGCAGAACAAATATTAATACTTAATTACAAGTGGCTAAACATTGTATAAGTAGGCTACAGTAGCCTACTTGAGTAATGCGTAATGTGTTTCATCCATGCACTGTATTATTTATTATGAATATATATGTTTTCGTATTTTTTATTGCAAATACCAATATTTGAAACATATTCAAAATAAATAACTAAACTGTAGGGATTTAGGAGGTTTTTTAGTTTAGTTTTTCTTTAATGACGTTAGGCATGCAACGCTGTACCTGCCAAAATGGCTGACTCAGCCACGCCTTTCCATTACCTGTTGCTTCAGCTGCGGACACACTCACACATACAGGAAGTGGAGCAGTTGAGTAAACTACAAGCTGAGCTAAGCCTAAACGAAAATGTGGCGCATGAAGGTCGCAGCTGTGGAGAAGAAATGAAATATGCGCAGATGTGCGCTGATTTCCCCCCGGATCTAATAGAAGAACAGTGTCGGACAGCATGTCATCAACAAGAGTCACGCTTCGGTTTTTTCTTCTCACCTTCGTCACAGCCACTGTTTCAGGTGAGTTACAGCTCAATTATTAACCAGCAGGACAGAAAATCTGCTGTGGTATACTATTTTTCCTCAGACTATAGGACAATGACTGTATAGGGAAAACATTTAATTCCAAATCAACTTTATTATTAACTATGTCAAAGGCAAAGCTGTTATTATTGTGTGTGATAACTGGTAATATGGCTGGTGATTAATTGTTGGAACCAGAATGACTAGGATTAGTTGTGTCACAGTAAATGAAGTTGTATAGCAGGATCAGGATGAGGACAAAATGAAAAAGGAAGGGCAGTGTGAAGCTATTGTTGTGACTGGTGGGTTTTTCTGTTGTTTGTTCAACAGAAACCTCATCATCATGTGTCAGGTTAAATAACATGTCTGTATTTTGTCCACTTCAGAAATAGATTTATATAAAGAGACATAATAGAGTGTAAAGCAAGATATATGGGACAATGGAGAGTTGATGCAAAGTGCTGCTGTGTGTGAACATGGCTGTGTTTGCTCAGCACAGTCCATGTTACTCATAGAGGGAGTGAAGCTAAGCCGTCTGCCTCATCACACAGTTAGTCATTAGGGCTTTGTTAACACTTAATAGAAGCATGTTTCAACAATTATCAATACATCTTTATAATATGATATTCATTGACATCTAAGTGGTTATTTCATTGTGATATTTCATGTAATCAGCAGTTTACATCTAGTGTCTGTATATACACTCCTCCCTTTTCTCCTAATCACATTTTCTATTTGTTTTATTGTCCAGGGGTCCTAAAGCTGCCCATCACCCCTGACAGAGGCACCACTCTCAGCATCAGCAGTAGTCAGGTCAAAGGTTGCAAAGTCTGCACCGGGGCAGGACGCCTACGACAATGTGGTTTATCCGTTGTGTTAAAAGACAACACTCGCATCTCTGTGGAGTTTGAGTGCTCTCGACCTCAAGATGTGTTCAGCGTGGAAATTGCGCGAAATATAGGTAAATATAGTACTGCAGTAAAAGAGCCAATTCAAATTATTATTTTGAGCAAATCAAATTTTCTTGCAGGTCTAACAATCTATTTTTGACTATCTCCTCTCAGAATGTACCACAAAGTTGTGCACTGGCCACATCATCCAGGCTGACACCGGCTCTCTTCCTTTGCTGGATTTTAATCGCAAGTTCATCTGGAACCTGAAGGCCTCTGCGCCAAAAGCAGTTAAAATAGACTTCAGCAACACGGGTCTAAGACAGATAAATCCCTCTGACAGATGTCCAGATGGACACAGCTACAATCTCCAGGCCTTCCAGACTACAGGAAATGTGTCCGTCGGGAAATACTGCAGGAGGGGGCCTGTTGTCGGTGCTCAGATTCTGAATCAAGGTAGCTTTTCTCTGGACGTCCCAGCAGGACAGAAGCTGCAAAATGGCCAGTTTGACGTGTCTGTTGGGGAGGAAATCAAATGTGAGTTTACATTTTGGAGTCTGAATAATCTCTTATGCTTTATGTGTCCAATACTTGAGTTTGTATATTTTTCTCTCTTACAGCCCTCACCAAAATTACAGTGATGATTCCAAAAGGGACCTCGTCCTTAGAGCTGCTCTCGCCAAACTACCCTGATAGTTTTCCTGATGACGACGTGATGCAGTGGTACTTTCAAGTACCGGACAAACACAGAACGGCCCTTCAGTTTTTAAATGTCACAAAGCCGCGTTGTCTGAAGAAGGAGACAGCGGTGGAGTACCACAGCAAAGGGAGAGGGGCGATGGTGCTGAGTCTGTCGGAACCCCAGCCAAAACAGAATCAGGGAGACTTCACCCTGACGCTGAGGAACTGTGAGATGGACATAAGAAGTGCTGCTTCTCCTGGACTGTTGCTGAACCTCAGGGTGTCGTCTTCAAGAGCAGGATTACCAGGTTTGTGCATCAGTTTTGACTTTTTACCACTGCCACGAGAGTTATGTATTTCTACCTCTAAAAATAATAAGTAATATGTTCCAAACATTTATGAGAGTGGGAGATAGACCTTGAGCCAGAGAAAAGTAGTTTTTGTCCATAATGAAGATAGAATGTTGTTTGTATATACACTATACCTATAAAACGAACTGAGATCTAGGTTTTTTTTCTGAGGATAGTTTTATGAGGAAAAAATGATTTACCTGAAATGTAAAGCTGCTCTAATAATGTATGTATATATTAACAGTAGTTCAAATGGCTATGTATAATTTGAAAGATTTAGCTTGCAATGACAAATCCACTCTTTATAACCCAACTTTTCATCTCTAGGGATCGCTTTTATCCTTTTTATCCTTTTCTTTAGTTTTTAAGCCCCCAATCAAACATTTCTGTTAACTCTCACGTCTCATAGCTGCTTTCTGATCACATTAGGCATATGTTTGGGGATATAAAGCTCTAGAGAAACACTTTACACCACAGGGAGCATTTGAAGCTAAAGAGACACATTTGTCCTTTAGCTGTTGGAAGACAGTTAAAAGAGACAATGTTTAGACTTAGATTCAGCGAGTGTATCATGCCTGAAAAAGAAAATGAAAAAAAATGGTGTTGATCAACTTTTCGTTTGTCAATGTATAACTGAAAAGAAAGCAGTTTTTGGGCCCAGGAGCAACAGGGAGTTAAGTGTTGGGAGAGTCTCCTCTTCATGTTGTAGCAGGCAAGAGACTACTGAATATAAATAGTCTTTAATTTCTATTTCGTTATTATTTTTACCACAGGGGTGAACTTTTATCAGTCAGAGGACAAATACATCTTCCATGTTTTAGCCACAGGCTGTGGATGAGTAACACAACGTGACGTGGAGAGTGGGCCCCGTGGTGTTTATTCAAGCCCTAGGGTGTCAGGTTAGGGGAGCTCTAAGATTGCCTCATCGCTGAGTCATGACATAAGTGGTTCATTATTGGGAAACAC